ACACTAGACACAGTGGACTACTAGTTGGGAGAGGGAGGACAGGGGCAAGGTTTGAAAAACTATCTTTTAGGTACTGTGCTCACTAGCTGGGTCCAATATACCCAATGAACAATCCTACACATGTACCCGCTGTATCTAAAATAAAAGCTGAAATATAAAGAAAAAACAAAGGACCTTAATATTTACATAAAAATTAAAAAGGGACCCTTTTCTTGGGTAAAAATAGCTTATACTGCTGATGTTAATGAAGTTCTTTTTTGATAAAAATATTATATATAATTTATGTGTTATGTATTTATGAAAATAATAACCTGTTATTGACTCAAAGCTTTAATCAGAATCTCACATGGGCCACTGGCCCGTAAGAGTTTAATAATTATTTATCTAGATTGATTTCAACTTCCCAACTACTCAACTCCACTACTCCAAAACCCTGATAAGGGTTAAGGGAAAACAAAATCATTTAGGGTTACCCAAATGAGCTGTCCCACTTCTAGTAATGGTGAAGTAGCTTGTTGTAGACCAACTCTTGCACAAAGAATAAGTAACAGGACAAAGTCAACTTCCCAAGCACTGGGAAGGTATCATGGCACTGAGGGCTTGGGGCACATGAGAGTACAGATGTGACCAGTATGGATCCATGAACAATAAACTGCCACTTTTTGCTCCTTCAATTTATGGATCTACATAATCTCTAGAATCTTGATATAATCCCAGGGACAGAGGATAGTTCCAAGAATGACTTCCAAGGAATTTCTTGTTAGCCAATGGTAATACGAACCACCACCACCAACAAAAAACCTAATACTTTGAAAATAACGAGATGCTATATGTCTTGTGTATTTGAGGATATATATATACATATATGTGTGTATATATTATTTTAATTTAAAAATAAACTTTACTGTTGAAAATGCAAACTTGGCGAGGGCAGAAAGATCACAGACAAGGCTGCCACTTCACACCTGGAGGGTTGCATGGTGGCGCGTTAAAGGCGCTCCTCACTTCCTAGACAGTGCGGCCACTGAGCAGAGGGTCTCCTCACTTCCCAGGTGGTGGGGCAGCCAGGCAGGTATTTGAGGGTATTTTCTGCTAATTTGTGTGGACCTCATATCTGAGTCTAAACATCTCCTAGGGGCAATGTTTGTCACCAACAATCGATGTAATTGTTTTTATCTCAATTCAGATACAAGAGAATCAAGTTGTGACTACTTAGTTCAATCATGGACACCCGTTTTCAAAAGAACAACCCAATACTACTTTTAGGAAGAGGATTTGGTTCATAATTTTAATTCACCTCTCACATCTCCTTTAAAAGAGATCAGGCCAAAATAACAATTTTCACTTTATCTCTGTCTACTAGTATAATAGCATATGCTTTTATTTTCAATCTCTACTAGTTCCCATCTTCTCCATTGCTTGTTTTTGCATTACTCCCTGGACAGGCTCAAATAGCTTACGTTTGTCTGGAGATGTGACCTGAGCCTGCACACAATTCTGCTTTTGCTCTGATTTAGCAGTCTTTCTCTTGATTTTGTTTTATATTGTATTTTATGTTGATATATCTCTTCCTTTTGCCTTTGCTCCTACCATTTCAGCACTCTTGATTCAAAGGCATGACACTGTAATCTAGAAATTTATACAGGACAAAGAAGTGGAAAGAAACAAAGAGAATGGAGCTCAGGTTGCTAATGGTCAAGACCAGAACGTGATTAGGGGAGCATAAATAGGAGACAGATGAGAAACAAAGGGGTCTTTAAACTACTTTACTTCCAGATAGCTAAGGAGAATGTATTCTTTTACTGGACCACCAAGTGACTCAATCCTTGTGTTTGTGTTTGTCTCTAAGGGGAACTGGAAACGAACGTTGATGTCTTATAACCAGTTCTTCCCCCTTGTCCTTTTATGATCAAATGCATCTCAAATTAACCATTGGGGAAGTTTTCTGAGCTTTTATCCTGTTTCTCAATGTGTATTTCATTATTTGCTATAGCTATAACTATCTTGTCACTTAAAAAAATCCCTGTTCAGTTTAAAACCATTGTTGAGAGTTTTTATGGAGGCTAAATTATGAAGGCATGTTTGGATACAACTTTAGCCATTAGAGATTGGACTCAATCTCCAGCCCTTTTTCTTCCCTGGACGAGTGGGGCTGAAAGTTTCCATCCTCTAGTCACATGGTTGGTTCTTCTGGCAACCAGCCCCCATCCTGGAGCTGTCTTGGGAAACATCAAGAGTTACCTCATGAGCATAGACACCAGGCTTGGTTAAAAGGTCTTGTTATGAATAATAAAAGACACTCTTTTCATCTTAATTTTTTTTTTTAGTATTCAGCTAGGTAATTATTGTTGATTTTTTTCTTTCGTCTTTATTGCCCTCGAGCTGTTTCAGAAACTGGGAACAAAAAACTAATAGATAACATAGGCTGTTTTGCGCACCTTTATTACTCTAGAACATGGTTGAGAAGCTGAGGACAAAACCCAAATATTATAATCAAAGATGCTCTTATCGTTTCTATCAACCAGGAAGTTTTAGGGTTTCAGAAGCTCTGTGATAAACAACAATGAAATATGCATGTTTCTTATAATATCACAAGTTCAATATTCATAGTAGATTTTCTTGTATTCAACACTGCTCACTTGAGAATGTGGAGATGCTTGTGATGTTAATAGAATGGTCTACATTTTAGAGACTGTATGTGAATGATGAGGTATCTCAAAGCCCTTGGGTAATGATTGGAGGAAACCAAAATAAACTTCTCTAAGATAACTGCATATTGTTGAGCTGAAAAAGGTGGCAATGTGGGAGAACATTCTTCCCCTCCTTCTGCTTGCCTGTTGGCAGAACAATTTACAAAGACGAAGGTCTTCCTGCCCTCCTTTCTACTTTTCCCAGCTGAGGATTAGCTCCTTTATGATACTTGTAAAAGGATTTAGAAGCAGACTTTACTCTTCGTGTAAAAATACCTTCCAGTATTTCATTTCTTTTTGGAATCCTGAAGATATTCTCTTCTTTGTCTTTTCACTATCATCCTAAAGGAAGTAGCTGAAGCCACATTAATATAGAGAGTTTATTTGGGCCAAGGTTGAGAACAGCTACCTTGGAAAACACTTCCAAGTTGCCTTGGGACGTGACCTAGAGAACAAAGGAGGTCGGGTGTGGTGGCTCATGCCTGTAATCCCAGCACTTTGGGAGGCCGAGGCGGGCGGATCACCTGAAGTTGGGCGTTTGAGACCAGCCTGACCAACATGGAGAAACCCTATCTCTGTTAAAAATACAAAATTAGCCGGGCATGGTGGCACATGCCTGTAATCCCAGCTACTCGGGAGGTTGAGGCAGGAGAATCGCTTGAACCTGGGAGGCGGAGGTTGCGGTGAGCTGAGATCACGTCATTGCACTCCAGCCTGGGCAACAAGAGTGAAACTCTGTCTCAAAAAAAAAAAAAAAAAAAAGAGAACAAAGGAAAGACTGAAGATTTTAAAGAAAAAAGAATGAATCTGCGAAATCACAGAACCATCCCAAATGCTCATCAATGAATGAGTGGATAAAGAAACTGTGGTATAGATATACAATGGAATGCTACTCAGTCATAAGAAGGAATGTTTTAACAGCATTTGCACTGACCTGGATGAGATTGGAGACTATTATTCTAAGTGAAGTAACTCAGGAATGGAGAACCAAACATCATATGTTCTTAATGATTTGCAGAGCTAAGCTACGATGACACAAAAGGCATACGAATGGTACAATGGACTTTGGGGACTTGTGGGGAAGAGTGGGAGGGGCACGAAGGATAAAAGACTACAGATATGGTGCAGGGTATACTGCTTGGGTGATGGGTGCACAAAAATCTCACAAATCACCACTAAAGACCTTACCCATGTAACCAAATACCACCTGTACCCCAATAACTTATGGAAAAATAAAAATTAAAAAAAGAATGAATCAGGAGAGGGAGTGATTTGAAAAGTTACTCATCAGTAAATTATCATTGGTTTACAGAAACCACATTGATTAGTAATTGGCTATACATCGTTAAACTGTAGGGTTCAGTTAGTCTAGAATCCACATAGCAAATGGCTTCAAGAGGTAAATTTAGCTTAAGGTGGGAGTGAGGCACGACTCCTGTCATGTCTCTCTCATGAGTCCACTCTGGACTTGATAGTTTCAAGGCACTCACATCTTTAAACAAAGTTTTTTGTTTGTTTGTTTTCTTTCTCACCACTCCATAAGATTTATGGCTCTTTGTTAACATACTATTTAAGCAGGATCTGTAAGCCACTACCTTGAAAGAGATAAATACATTTGAACTGAGTTCTCTCCTGAGTGATGGGTATAGCGCACATTGAGAAACTGCTGTTTTTTCTCTTGTTTCTCTGACTTTTGTTTTCAGGAGTGTGTCTCTACTAAGAATCTATGAGGATAAGAAAACAAATCATATTTTCTGTGCTACAATATAAAATTCATGAAGCCTGTTTCTGATTTCATATCACTTCAGGCTCCCTTTTACCTAATCAGGGAGATTACAATATATCACTGTCATCTGCCCAGTATTAGTCTGGATACAATAAGAATCTTTCATCACCTTTGCAGAGTGATTTCAGAATGTTTCGTTTTGCAATCACATTCCTTAACAATGTTCATGGGTTTTGTTATACCCTTCATATCTAAACCATATCCATTCAATCAGACTTTTGCTTACTTCCTAGGACACTGTTCAACACAGGGATCAAGGCTTGCATAAAATAAGTAACCAATGTAAAGTTTAGTTAGGGAGCACTTAATTTAACCAAGGTCTCTAAATGGATTTCTTGTAGGAGATACAAAATTTTCTATTTTGCATGCTAGAATGAATAGGAATCAGACAGAGAAATTTTATATTAGGAACTGAAGAAATGATCTAAGTATTCTTGTCAAAGTTCTCATGAGTGGTTTTCAATGTTTCTCAATTCCTCTTTTTTTTTTTTTTAACCCCATGTTTCAAAATCACTGGAAACTTTAGTTGTAACTCTGACTTCTTCTTTTGAGGTACACTTAATGTTAGAAGTCTCTTAGTCCTACGAGAGTGTGTAGCAGTTTGTCCCTGAGCTCTACCTTTTTTAAATGAAGCTGGGTCTCTGGGCAGCATCTTCTGGGCGAGAGATACAAAAGGTTCCTGGACCTTCTCAACACAGGGAGCCTGCATAATGATGCAAGGGCTGCAACCTCAAAGTACAGGTGAGTATTTCCTCTGTTTCAGAGGAAAGTGGAAGTGTATGATGAAATAAGATCACCCAGAGAGAAGAAGTAGACAAAGAACAGATTGAAGAGCTAGTGATTGGACCAATATAGTAGACTGAAAGGAATTTGAAAGAAAGAGTCATTCTTCAGAGCCAGAACCACAAGCAATTGAAAGAATAAGAAAGCAAATTTTTTGGGGAGGTTTGTATCAGATTTTATTGAAAGTTTAGGGAGACAGAAAAGATTTACATGATAGAAGGTAATCAGGGAAATAATTGATTATTAGATATCTGCTCTTGAAAGTCTTTTGACTAATCTTGAAATCCAGGCAGCAGTATTCTTTCCAATTACCCTGAGTTTGTTTTTGTACTTGCTTTTCTAATTTTTTTGTAAGAGAAAAGCTTCCCATTTTTAATGCATGAAAATTTGACTTTAGCTTCAACCCTTTGCATGTCCATCAATAATGTTTAAAATTTTTTTTTAACGGATACAAAATAGTTGTGCATATTAATGGGCTCCATGTGATATTTTGATATAAGAATATGATGCGTAATGATAAAGTCTGGAAAATTAGATTATCCATCACTTCAAATATTTATCATTTCTTTGTGTTTGGAACATTCCAAATCTACTCTTCTAGCTATTTTGAAATATACAATAAATGATTGTTGGGCTAGGCTCAGTGGCTCACACCTGTAATCTCAGCACTTTGGGAGGCTGAGGTGGGTGGATCACTTGAGGTCAGGAGTTCGAGACCAGCCTGGCCAACATAATGAAATCCCATCTCCACTAAAAAGACAAAAATAAGCTGGGCATGGTGGCATGTGCCTGTAATTCTAGCCACTCAGGAGGCTGAGGCAGGAGAATCACTTGAACCTGGGAGGTGGAGGTTGCAGTGAGCCAAGATTGCCTCATTATGCTCCAGTGTGGGTGATAGAGTGAGACTCCACGTCAAAAAAAAAAAAAAAAAATGTTAACTACAGTTGTCCTACTGTGCTAAGGGACACTAGATTTTATTTCTTCTAGCTAATTGTATTTTTGTAGGCATGAAGCAACCCTTCTCTATCTTCTCTTCCCCATTAACCTTCCTGGCCTCTGGTAGCCACCATTCTATTCACTACCTCCATGAGATCAATTTTTTTAGCTCCCACATAGGAGTCAGAACATGCAATATTTGCCTTTCTGTGCCTGGCTCATTTCACTTAACATGATGTCCTCTGGCTCCACATATGTTGTTGCAAATGGTAGGATTTTATTCTTTTTTATGGGGCAATAATATGCCATTGTATATATTATACTACATTTTCTTTATCCATTCATTTGTTGATAGACACTTAGGTTGATTTCATATGTTGGCTACTGTGAATAGTGCTGCAATAAACATGGGAGTGCAGATATCTCTTGGATATACTGAAGAAACCAAATATCAATACAGGGATATGAGAAATGGGAGACAAAAGTGATGTTTTGAGAAAGGAAATCAATGAAACATGTAATAGTTAAGAGGAAAGAATAAAGATATGGAAATTCCAGTTGGTTGAGCATATGTTTTACCTGTATTCTTTGGGGCCACAGAGCTACTACCTGGTTATTTGTTCTGAGGGAGTTTGTAAGCTCTCTTCTTGCTTTAGATTTTTAACTGCTCTGAGGTTCTTCATCTAGTTTGTTCATTGCTGTAAACTTCCTGGGAATTTTGGCTCCCCGGCCCCCTGGTAACTGTGTTTGTTGTCTTCCTGATTGGACAGAGAAAAGAGGTTGGTGGTCCCTGAAACTCTGGTCTGTGGCTGGGATTTCCATTGCACTCCTCAGTGCTTGCTTCATTGTGAGCTGTGTGGGTAAGTTCTGTACTGAGGTGCATTTTCTTTGCTTCTTTTCCCTTGAATATTCCATACACGTTTCCTAGGATATATTCTCCTCTGCCCCATTAATACATCAATTCTTACTTGGAATGTCACATTTTCCTTGATTTCTCCTTTTCCCTTTGTTGTTCTTCTTCTATCTTTTGAAAACTGAATTCTTGTGGATTTAGTTTACCTGGTTTTATGAGCATTTTCTGAATCATGGCCTCATATATCCATGTTGTTCATTGTAGCCATCATCTAAGGCACCATCTTTCAGGACTGGATTCACTGGTAATCATGTGTTCCTTAGTCACAAAAGTCTTGTATTGGGAGTGCAACTCTAATTGCTGTCATAATTGTGATATTCTGTATTAGATTCTTTGATTCATGTACAGAACCTTTCCAATGTGCGAGGAAAAAGTATTCAAATGAAATGATGGAGATAAAGAGAATACAATATTTCTTCTCTGTTCTGCTTGCCTCCAAATACATGTCTCAAGTTCATTGTGTGAGAAGTCTTAAAGACCTTTTTCCTCTCTGATTCACAATTTGGATTTCTACTCATTGATAAAGTGATTAAATATAGTTGTTGAGCAGCCGGGCGCGGTGGCTCACGCCTGTAATCGCAGCACTTTGGGAGGCCGAGGCGGGCGGATCACAAGGTCAGGAGATCGAGACCATCCTGGCTAACACGGTGAAACCCCGTCTCACTAAAAACACAAAAAATTAGCCGGGCGCGGTTGCGGGCGCCTGTAGTCCCAGCTCCTCGGGAGGCTGAGGCAGGAGAATGGCGGGAACCCGGGAGGAGGAGCTTGCAGTGAGCCGTGATTGTGCCACTGCCCTCCAGCCAGGGGAACAGAGCGAGACTCAAAAAAAAAAAAAAAAAAAAAAAATAGTTGTTGAATAGTCTGGGAGGGAATGAAAGTGACTTCCCCTGTCAATCAGGTCATAGATGTAGCTCCCTCAGAGTTTTAAATAAATCTCACAATATTTAGTAAAATACAAGTAATTATCACCAAAGTTAGAATCTGTTTTACTTTTCAGAATCAAGTGCAAGAGAGAAGGGGTTTAAGAATAGATATTTCATAAAAAGAAACACAAATTCAGGATCTCAAAACATGAACTAAGAGCAGGGCAGAAAGATTTGACTGTATTGAGCTTTAGTTATAGAAGGACAAAAAAGAAATGAGTGAAGAATCAGATCAGATCCTGAGAGGTAAAAGGTCTTGCTGAAAATGAACATTAACATAAAAGTTAATGTTCATTTGAGACATTAAAAATATTTTTATAAATGTTTAAAATTTCCCCTTGGTTGTTACTTAGCCCGTCTGTTGATGTGTGGCTACCTGCAGCTAGAATTATTTACAAAACATCAAAATAACCTGTGTGCTTGCATCAAGGTTATTAAGGCTAAGGAGAAGCAGATATCCAGTGAGTCAATAAATATTTATTGATGACTTTGTGACAGTTACCCTTTTAGGTGTTTGTGATTTAAAAAAGATCAGTTTTCACCTTCAGACTTCCTCCTTTTTTTATAATAAAATATTTTTAAATTATTATTTTAAAATTGTGGGTATATAGTAGGTGTATATATTTATGGGATATATGAGCTGTTTTGAAACCTTTAAGTTGTGTTTGTGATTAATTGTTGCGGGAAACAGGCAGAATCTCTGTTCAAGAGTATGGAGCCTAAATTCTAGTGGTGAAAAGACCAAAAAATTAAATGGGGGATATATATTTTAAAAAAAGTAAGATAAATGAATACAAGCAAATAATAATTTGGCATGGTTTTTATTGGGCTTGCATAGAGAAAGAGTGGTGGGGGTCAGAGGTAAGCCAGCACTGTACAGATATAGAGCTCAAGGCTTTAGAGCAAAATTATAGATGGACGCTAATCCTTCTTCTTCCTTCCTAGTAACTTACCGTTTTACATATGACGAAACTGGCAAAACGCTGTCTGAACTACATTCATATCATTCAAGTCTCACCTGCTTCAGTGAAGGGACAAAAGTGACAGGTAAAGCTTTAAAATGCTTACATAGACTTTCTTTTTTCTCAGGGAGAGAACAGGGTTGAGCTCAAGATTGGTTATTCTATTGTGCATTTGTGTGTGTATGTTTCATGAAAGTCTCTGCTCGGATATTTTCATAATTTCTCTAAACATACATGTTCATGTCAGGCTCTAGACATGCCCCTAAAACAATTCCTTCTTCACACTTCTTGAGCTTGGTAAATATTATAAACCTACATGCATGTAATTTGCTCAGGCCAACCCTGGAAATTATTCATAACAATTCTTACAGTTTTTACATTCCTCTCACCCTCCATCAAATGCATACAATATTTTTTTCAATATTTAAGGTTTCCAATTAATACTACCCATCTCCATCCCAAATACTAGCATTATTCCTGGTCAAATTGGTTCAGGATGAGATTGATGCCTGTCCAAAATATACTGTTGTTAACTTCATATGTGGAGAGTTGGCGGAGTTGAATTTAGGATTATGGTTGGTGTATTAGTCAGTTTTCATGCTGCTGATAAAGACATACCCGAGACTGGGCAATTTATAAAAAAAAGAGTTTTATTGGACTCACAGTTCCATGTGGCTAGGGAGACCTCACAATCATGGTGGAAGGTGAAAGTCATGTCTCACATGGCAGCACACAAGAGAAGAACGAGAGCCAAGTGAAATGGGTTTCCTCTTATCAAACCATCAGATCTTGTGAGACTTATTCACTAACACGAGAACAGTATGGGGGAAACTACGCCCACGATTCAATTATCTCCCACACGGTCCCTCCCACAGCACGTGGGAATTATGGGAGTACAATTCGAGGTGAGATTTGGGTGGGGACACAGAACCAAACCATATCAGTCAGTTTCATGGAAAAGGGTAAGAGCCTTTCCGTCTGGCAGCAGCCATCAGGTAAGTCAAGATGGGTGCATACAAGTACATCCACGAGCTATGGAAAAAGAAGCAGTCTGATGTCATGAGCTTGCTTCTGAGGGTCTGCTACGGGCAGTACCGCCAGCTCTCTGCTCTCCACAGTGCTCCCCACCCCACCTGGACTGATAAAGTGGGCCGACTGGGCTATAAGGTCAACCAAGGTTACTTATATAGGATTCGTGTTCGCCGTGGTGGCCAAAAACACCCAGTTCCTAAGGGTGCAGCTTACAGCAAGCCTGTCTATCATGGTGTTAACCAGCCAAATTTTGCTCCAAGGCTTCAGTCTGTTGCAGAGGAGCGAGCTGGACACCCCTGGGGGTCTCTAAGAGTCCTGAGTTCTTACTGCCTTGGTGAAGATTCCACATAAAAATTTTTGGGGGTTATCCTCATTGATTCATTCTATAAAGCTATCAGAAGAAATCCTGACACCAAACCAGTCCACAAGCACAGGGAGATGTGTGGCCTGACATCCACAGGTTGAAAGAGCCGTGGCCATGGAAGGGGCCAGAAATTCCACCACACTATTGGTGGTTCTCATCAGGCAGCTTGGAGAATGCGCAATACTCTCCAGCTCCACCGTTACTGCTAATATAAGTAAAGTGTGTAAAATTCATACCTAATAAGAAATTTAGGACAGTCAAAAAAAAAAAAAAAAAAAGAAAAGAAAAGAAAAAGGGAAAGAGAAGTGAAGTGCATAGTCTTCTTCCTACCTATGTGGAACACTGCTTCAACAAGTAACATTTGAATGAATATTTTCCTGGAAGCAACAATGGGCACTTAGCTTTTGCCTTCCGAATGCCCTGAAATGGGACAGAGATGGATATTAATTAAATTAACTCCATATCCATCTGGCATAAGAGACTGTTAATTTGCCCCCTAAGTATATCCAATGTAAATGACCAGTCAAGCTGTTCAATACAACTACTTAAAGTTACAGAAAATCTTATGTGATAAAATACAATTATTTTGTATAATACCATGTCAGTAAATAAAAATGCTCCAATTTTAACAACATTCTTTCAAATCATCATGACAATGAAAAATAAAAATAAAAGTCCATACACAAAATTTCCATTTTGATTAAAGTTAAAAAATGACTTAAATCCACACTGTATCTTGTTCAGTTTGTTTCCCACTCAGTTGCAGTCAGAGTGTGGAGACGTTCAGCTGCATAGGAAGAGCTAGAGTTCCCTCAATCCCCCTGCACTCTGCCTAGGCCAGTTTTCTTTTAACTGTTTTGCTTGTCAATCCCCAAAAAGGATTCTGAAAATGTATGTACCCTCCGATACAGTTTAATTTGACATCAGAATTTTCATCATGCTATGGAAGCAAAAGCTTTAATTTCTGGAACATTGTAAATACTGACTTTAAAAAACAAAACTGTTATTTCTCTCTTAAAATGTATTTACTTGTGTGTAAATACTATTACAAAGTGCTAACCCCCATCATCCATTAAAACAAAACTAAACATATATTATTTAACAGTTGGATGTTTTACATCATTCTTCTATCTCCTTGAACTAAAATTTACATGATACTTTTCTCATCTGCCAAAATATGTAGATAAACATGCCTAATATTTCAATTTCCTGTGGACCATTAGGCTTCGTGTGTTATAAAATGTGTTCTGGATTGATTTACTATCATAATTATTATCAGGACATGATGTCAAAACATCACAAAGTTATGATAGATTTTGATAAATCATCAATAATTAAGTAAAACTATTGGAAGTCTAAATCTTAATGAGATGAGTGGAACTTTGAAAAAATGCTATCAAATGTAATTATAATATTATTGCTAACATATTCAACACCAATTCAGCTCCTATTTTCCACTTTAATGACATTAACTAAAAAATCTTGCTCACCTAAGTCAGTAGATAAGAATGAAAAAGGCTTTGTTTGAATGTCACTCAATTTTTGATATTCTTTCAGCATTGTCTGCTTAAGATGATATAGTGATCTATTGTCAAAAATTATTTATAATGGTTTGTAAACTGAGAATTTGATCAGGTTACTCCCAATGTTATAGAAAGTAAAGAATAAGAAATATCACAGAATAATTTTGCAAAAGATTTGTTATTTCTCAGTCAGTAGTTATTTACTTTCTCAAAAGTATACCAAAAGTGTTCTAAAAAGGCTTATCAAATGATTGTGATTTACATCTGTTACTTTCTACACTTGCAAAGTGACTTGATCAGCTCATTATTCTCAGCATAAATTGAGAAAATAAAATATTATTAATTTAATGTTAGTATACCTTGTTGACAGATGCTTTTACTGATCACAGCTGACAATATTTTTTGTTGGCCTTGGAGCTGGCAATTTCACATGTTCAACTTATAAAAAAAGTTTGGCGTATATAGCTCAATTGGCAAAGTCAGTCAAATTTGACTTTCAAAATTCAAATCATATGTTAATACACACTTTGAGACATATTAAAGCAATCATTAATAATGAGCGGAATGCACAATTAAGGTATATTTCTAAAAGCAGCCAATATGCAAATAATATAGATATGGTTAATCTATTTTATTCATTGTATAATATTATAAAAGGAAGAATAAGCTTTTTGGTTTTTAATCACTTAATATGTAATGATATAATAATGTAAAAAATGAATAAAATAGAACTATATGTAATAACATAGATGAATATTAGCAATACAAAACAAAAAAATAAGCCCAAGAAGATCACATATATCATAATTGCTGTTTAAAATTTCAAAACCAAACAAATCTAAACAATTTACTATTTAAGCATACATATATATTTGTTTAAATTATATGTAATCAAAATCATATTGATTATAAGTATAATCAAAATATATCAGTGGATTTATATATGTCTAACTATGGATTTTTTTAATCCTAGAAGAGTGACAAACTGGTACTTGTAAGGGGAGAGAACTGCTAATTGTTTAAGATTCTTAAGCATTTAATACTGTGTGAAAATTAGTAATAGGTAACATTTATTGAGCAATTATTCTATGTTAAGCATCTTTTAAAATGCTTTATACATATTATGTGATTAAATACCCCTGTGAGGTTGGCACTATTATTATTTCCATTTTAGAGATGCAATAACTGAGGCTCAGGAAGGTTATGAATTTGCTCGAAGACATACATGATAAATGCGGGAGCCAGAATTCTAATGAGGCATAATTCTAATTCTCATAACCAACCTGTGAATAGTTATCATTTTGAAAACCCAAGGCTTTGTGGCTTGCCCAAGATTACTGAGCAGAACTGGGTTTCTAGGTTCGTCCGTGTTAGTCATTCAAAATTCTAAGAGGACTTGGTGCTTATAATGTACAAGGGACATGAAAAACAAAACTCAATAATGACTTTTTTTTTTTTTTTGCAAAAAAGAAAATGGAGACAAATCCTGCAGGTAAACTTTAGTAAATATTGAGGACTTAATGTTAAAGGATATTTATTTGAAATCAATTCTAGGGCCTCAAATTATATAATTCAGGAAACAGTAAAAGCATGAATTAAGAGACTGTCTCTACAAAGCAACCACAGATCCTTAATCTTATTTATCACATCTTTCACTCACTCTTTTTTTTCATGTAACACAAAAATAGCCTGGGGATGTTGCCCAGCTTCTTGGAAGTCATTTGATTCCAGCTGCTACTTCATTTCCGGTGAAAAGAACGTTTGGTCTAAGAGTGAGCAGAACTGTGTTGAGATGGGAGCACATTTGGTTGTGTTCAACACAGAAGCAGAGCAGGTACTGTTTCCACTTAAAAAATTATCTAATTGTAGAAAAAAACACATAACGCAAAATTTACTGTCATAACCATTTTTAAGTGTACAGTTCAGTAGCATTTACTATTTTCACATTACTGGGCACCAGATTTCTAGAAATTTTCCATCTTGCAAAACCGCAACTCCCCACCCATTGAACAACAACTATGCATTTCCCCATCCCTGAAAGCCCTGGCAATCACTCCTCTACTTTCTGTTTCTATGAGTTAGACTATTTTAAATACTGTATACAAGTGAAATTATATAGTATCTGTCATTTTTTGAATAATCTATTTCATTTAGTATAATATCCTCAAGATTCATCCATGTTCTCATATAAGACAGGACTTTCTTTCACTTTAGGGCTGAATAACATTCCATTGTATGTGTCTCTCACACTTGTTTTTTGCTTCTTTGTCTTATTTGATTTCTTATTTTCCAGGTTTATTGGAGTGTGACTGACCACCAAAAGTAGCATATATTTAAGGTGTACACTGTGATTTGATATACAAATTTATTATGAAATGGTTACCACAGTCAAGCGAATTAATATATCTATTACCTCATATATTTAGCCTTCTTTTTCTCCTTTTCTGTGGTGAGAACACATAAGATGCCACATTTCCATTCATTTACTTGTCAGTTGTCATTTAGGTTGCTTCCACTTTGTGGCTATTGTGAATAATTCTGCAATGAATGTGGATGTGCAAATAATCTTTTAGAGTTCCTGCTTTCAATTCTTTGGATAAATACCCACAAGTGGGATTGCTGGATCACATGTTAGTTCTATTTTTAATTTTTTGAGGAACCTTCATACCATTTTCATGATGACTGTGCCATTTAACATCACCCGCAAGAGTACCCAAGGGTCTCACTTCACATTCTGATGAACACTTGTTCTTTTCTGTTTTGTTTTTTGAATAGTAGCAATCCTAATGGACGTGAAGTAATATCTCATTGTGATTTTGATTTGTATTCCTTTAACAATTAGTGATGTTGAGCAACTTTTTTTTTTTTTTTTTGAGACAGAGTCTCGCTCTGTTGCCCAGGCTGGAGTGCAGTGGCGCAATCTTGGCTCACTGCAACTTCTGCCTCTTGGGTTCAAGCAATTCTCTGTCTCAACCTCCCGAGTAACTGGGATTACAGGTGCCCACCACCATGCCTGGCTAATTTTTGTATTTTTATTAAAGACGGGGTTTCACCGTCTTGGCCAGACTGGTCTTGAACTCCTGACCTCATGATCCACCCTCCTTGGCCTCCCAAAGTGCTGGGATTACAGGCATGAGCCACTGCACCCGGCTGGCAACTTTTAAAATGTACTGTTGACAATGTGTATATCTTCTTTGGAGAAATGTCTATTCAAGTCCTTGGCCCACTTTTTAACTGGGTTATTTGTTTTATTGTTGTTGAGATGGAGGTGTTCTTTATATATTCTTGATATTAACCCCTTACCAGATATATGATTTGCAAGTATTTTCTTTTATTCCATACGCTGTCTTTTCATTAATTGATTGTTTCCTTTGCTTTGCAGAAGTTTTTAGTTTGATGGAGTTCCATTTGTCTGTTTTCTTGCTTTTGCTCCCCATGATTTTGGTTTCATATCCAATACATTGCCAATTTCAATGTCATGAATCTTTTTGCTCATGTTTTCTTCCTGGAGTTTTACAGTTTT